GATGAGATATCTCCAATATGCCTTTAAGTTCTAACATTCTAGGATTCTGTGTTATTACAACCATTGAAAATTCTGTTTATACCTACCCTGATGAAATACAGTGAAGACTAAATCTAATGTAAGGTTAAGTACTTATTTTAACAATTGAAATCTTATTTCACTTTAAGCTGCAATACAAATTCTCAGAATTTATAAAATTACCATCCATACATTTTCTGAACTTTTAGGATTTTCTTATTTATATACCACTTTAGGGAGCCCCCCCAAATAGTCAGATAACTGAGTTGTAAATGATAGTTAAAAGAGTAAATAATAGTTTAAAGGATATGTAGAGATACCCACATTTTTGAAGTAACATTCTTAGGTTTATTCATGGAAGGATTTCAAAAGTTTGAGAAACACTACTCCAAATAGCTAATACAGATTAACCTTTTCTATCAAGTGAATGTGTATGAGTCTTAATGATCCCAATGTCAAATATAAGCAGCAGGGACAAGAATATCATATGAAATTAGAAATAATAAATATTTCTTAAATGATTTTTCTGTTACTCAACTGACACAGTACTACTTAAGGATCAACTACTAAGAACCAACTACTTTGAGAAATATTTGTGGCAAATTTTAGATTCATGGCGACCTTTTCCTATCATTCCAAAAGCTCCAAGACCCCCAAGGTGATTCTGTACAACATGGCTCTTGGGCTGTCCCAGTGAAATGTTAAGAGAGTCATCTTAACAGATCTTTATGAAGGTGAAATTAAAAAGCATAAATATTGTTAATAATGCACCATTAAATAAATATTAATTTTTAGTATTAGCCTCCATAGATTAAGGTCCCTAAGGAACAGAGCATTAGAATCACTTAGTATTTTAAAGTTTTTAAAGTGTTTTCACATCTATCATTTCATCTGAATCCCATAAAACCACTGCGATAAAGGAAACAGTACAGGAATTATTTTTTCCAAATTAAGTAGGGAGTTTTAGAGTGACTAAATGATTTTCTGTGGTCATAGAAGGCACATCTAGGGCCATATTAAAATCACATCTTTCATTTTCTATTCTATGACTATTGTTACTTATAGTGTGATTTTTTCCAATTTTATTCAAAATTTAAATAAATTAATGCTTATTGAACAGCTAGTTATAAATAAATACCAGAAAAATTACAAATTATATTCCACAGAAAAATATACATCCTCATCTAATTATGTGAATCATGGTAACAAAGTTGCTGTACTATAAAAAGGTAGTGATCGATTTCCTCTAATATCTAATGCCATAATCAAGTAAATTCATAAGCCTGAATCTTTCACATAAGGCATTATTCTAGAATAAAGAACTCTGTTCTAAGCATTCAATAATCTGGATTCTAGCACAAGCTATGACTTTGTTTTGTTTCTTTGTTTTTTGGTACCGGGGATCGAAATCGGGTCTTTGCGCTTGCAAGGTAGACAGCAGAACCACTGAGCTAAATCCCCAGCCCCAAGTTATGACTTTGGATAAGAAACTTAAGCTCTCTGAGACTTTATTTGTAAAATAGGAGTGTTACACTATCAAAGTTGTTTTATTATAAGAAATAACCCCTCCAATGCCTTCTTAACAACATGGTTAAGAGGCTCAAATGAAATGTGAAAATGCTGAGACCAGCTCTTAGATACTATGGAACCTATGCAAAACAAGAACTGCCTGTGTCTAATTACTCTAGAGATTCCTAGGTTGCATCAGAATTTGGCATTTGGTCAATGAACAAATAACTTTAGAAGAAGAAATTCCATTTTTAAAAACCTTAGGCTTATAATCTTTTCTCTTCTACAAATCTAAACTTTTAAAAACTTATTGCCACCTTGAATAAGTTACTGATGAAATATTATTGCCTTTCAGACTGAGGACTCACTTGCAAAGATTTCATCTTCTTTCATAACCACAGCTGGAATATGCTCACTTTCATTTCCCACAAGACTTGACCTTTTGCAGATTACAGATATTTTCTATGCCTTCAGTTTTGCTGGAAACTAAAATAAAACTTGGTTAAGTATAATGATAAAGTCTTTCTTTGTGTAATTACAATTTATCAACCATCCTCATAAATGAGAACTAAATGGCTAAAATACTTTTACCAGAACAGTTCAACTGCCAACTCTTTATTGCTATGCCCCGTTTACTATCAGGCTTCAAGACTCCATAACACAGAAAAGAAGAGTATGTCCATGGTAATCTTCACTGACTACTACGAAGAGTGCTAGTGGACAGCTGAGGAAGACCTGGGGTATTCAACAGTACATACTGCCATCTATGACTGTCCTGCTCAAGAGATGTCCATAATTATTACATTAAGTTATCACAAAAAAGATTTCCTGTGCCAACAGGCTATGATAGGCCTTACAATGATACAAGTTTATGAACATAACTGTTTTAATCAAAATTTTTAAATTAATAAAATATTTGTCACCCATATTGACTTTTTTTTTCCAGTACCAGGGATTGAACTCAGGACCTTGTGCTTGCCAGGCAGGTGCAACACCACTGAAAAATTTTCATCAATGAAATATTACCTTATTTATGATTTAATTACCAATTTAATTCCTGGCCAATTTTCAATATTGTGAAAATACTTCCACAGGTCTCCATGCTCCTTTTATTGTTTGGGCTGAAATTATTTTCATCAGGATCAGTTATTTTTATATAAATTTTACAGTAAAAAGTTTATTAATTAGGGTTTTTGTTTCCATTTCATTTTTGTCTTATAGGAACTCCTACAATGGTTAGTTTTATTTTGATCTGTTGGCTATTATATTTTTTAAAAATTAATTTTATTGGTACATTTTAGGTATACAATATAATTACATTCATCATTGGACATTTGCACCTGTACATAATCTCTCTTGGTTCTTATTTTTTCCCCATTCCCCTGCCTTCCCTTCAACCCCTCCATCCCTATTGACAAAGATTTTGTTTCCATTTTTTCATTTTCTCATATTAATTCCATTCCCTTCTTTCCTTTCCCCTACCCTCCCACTTCCCCTTCCTCTTTGCCCCTTTTCTTCCTATTTCACATTATCTATTATATCTTTCGGTCCTTATTTACACTTTCAATTTCTCACACTAGAGAAACTATTCGGTATTTACACGTGTGTCCTATTTATTTCACTTAAGAGTATTGCCTCAATGTGCATCCATTTAGCTATGAATGTCTCTAATTTTTCACTTTTTATGGCTGAGTAGTTCCCCATTTTATAAAAAAACCCACATTTTCTTTATCCAGTCTCCAGTTGATGGGCAATTGGGCTGCTTCCAAGTTTTGGCTATCACAAATTGTGCTGCTATGAACATGGGCACACATATATCACTGGTATGATTCTTTTAATTCTTTGGGGAAGACACCCAGCAGGGGAATAGCTGGGTCAAATGGGACTTCCAGTCCTAGTTCTTTGAGGTATCTCCATACTGATTTCCACAGTGGTTGCACCAGTCGACACTCCCACCAGCAGTGGAGCAGGGTTCCTCTTTCCCCATAGCCCTGCCAGCATTTATTATTGATTTCATGATAGCAGCCGTTCTTTCTGGGGTGAAGTGGAATCTCAGCATTGTTTTCATTTGCATCTCTCGAATGACCAGTGATGTTGAACATTGTTTCATGTGTTTATTTGCTATGCCTACTTCTTTGTCTGAGAAATGTCTGTTCATTTCAGATGCCCATTTTTGGATTGGGTCTTTAAATTTGGAAGGTCTGGTTTTTTTTAAGTTCTTTATAGATTCTAGGTAGTAGACCTTTATCTGAGGAACAGCAGGTGAAAATTTTTTTCCCACATTGTAGGTTGTCTCTTCACACTGTTGGTGGTTTCTCTTGCTGTGCAGAAGCTTCTTAATGAGAAGAGATCCCACTTGTTGATTGTTTGTGCTAGTTCATGGGCAACTGAGGTTTTGTTCATAAAATCTTTTCCTACACCAATGTCTTCAAGAGTTCTACCTAACCTCTGTTCCAGCTGGTTCAATGTTTCTGTTTTCCTTGGCTCTGAGGGTGGCTCTGCTCCTCAGTGCTGGACGCAGTAGTATGGCTGCCCAGAAGTCTTCTCCTTGGAGCTCTGTTGGCTACTATACTTGACATGTCTAACTTAGGGGGAAAGTATATAGATATTAAGACTTTCAAGATTTGGCAGAGAGTGTAGCATTGCTTAGTGAATGCAAGACCCTGGGTTCAAGCCAAATACTAAAAAACAAAACAAATCAACACAAAACAAAAAGGTTTTTCACGATTTGATAGTCACATCATTTTGTTTCTAACAAGTTTTCTGAATGTAATTTTATACATTTTCATTTTTGTTACATTTACTTCTAATAATAATATGTATTATGATTTGGAAACAAGATTTAGAATATTATTTCTTATAGCTATGAGCAAAGAACATTAATATACATACATAAAATCAATTGGGTTGGAATAGCTCTGGTATTGGGATGGCATGGTTACAACATTCTGCTTCAGGTCAACATTCTTTGTCCAACAAGGAAGTGAATCTTAGACAACATTTGGGGAAATTTCCTGTCAAAAATGGAATCGATATAAAATATAGCACTCAGAAAACGATTCTGTATCTTTGATAATCCTAGATGAAATACTGTTCTGTACATAAGTCTTGTCAAAACATAAGGATAATTATCATACGTTCCTCAGACTATTATGATACTTTCCTAAATGGCTTCCTTTCAATCAGCACAATATTTGAAAATGTGAACTCTTTGTGGCCTAAATTACCCAAGTACTGATAATAGTATGAAATTTGACCAGAAAGTTTGTTGTTTTAGTTGTGTGTTTGTTTTTGGCTCCAAATATTTGTCACCATGTTTGACAAACCTTCAAATATTTTGTGTTTCTGCTGGCTTTGGAACATTTCCCTATAGATTCACATTAGGGTGTCTTTTCCATTTTGAATATCAAAATCGTGCTGGAGATTTAACTCAGTGGTTCTAGCTCCTGCCTCACAAGCACAAGGTCCTGAGTTCAATCTCTGGTACCAAAAACAAAAAACAAAAACCAAAAAAACCCAAAACAAATCAAAATCGTTTCTCTTCTTTGAATCCCAGAATACCCATGGATATTAAAAAGTTATTTAAATTCCAAGGTTTCCCTCTCAGAAATCCTACTATTTGACATTAATAATTAACTTGACTATTTTAAACAAATTCTTCAAGCTGAGTTCACAAAAAGCAGGGCAGTTTCAAGAAAGATTGTGTCAGTGGTCTTATGCTACTCCAGCCATGCACATTTTAAGCATAGTTTGTCTTTTTTTCTTCTTGGGAGGAAGCTGGGGACAGGAGCAAGTGTAAGTGAATGATATCATTTTCATATAAAATGGATTTTAGTTGTAATTTTATAGAAAGCAGAATTCAATCAATGTCTGATGAAATTAACTTTTGATTTCTGAGGCACCAAAGTGAATTTCTTTCCTCTGCTCCACTGCTACTGGTCTGTGTTTTAATATAAGCACTTTGTGAGCTACGCCTGACTTGTATCCTAACACTGTGTGTTTTGTCAATGCTCTCATATTTGCCTCCAGAGAAGAGTAACTGTTTGATTGGTATTTTGCTTGAAAGTGACTTATTCAAAAGGTAGAATTATGATCTATATTTGCACTTCTTATAGGGAGCTCTACTAAACATTTCCTAGATACAGCTGATCAAGATCACTTTTATCTACCTTCTTGAAATCTCATCCTTACAATGTTTTCTGTAAAGTATCCTGGCTTTACCACAGCTAACAAACTTTTGAGGAATAAAAAATATATTGCTAAGTTGAAGAAATTTGCATCAATATAAATTTATATTGATTCTATGAAGTGAAAATATTAAAACTTTTATTAAGAGATTGACTGTATAATTTTACTGTTTCAACAGGTATGTTGTCTCAGCACCTAAAGTATTCTATCTTGGAACCTCTGAAAATGTAGTAATTCAGGCTTATGGATACTCAGAATCATTTTCTGTGATCGTTTCTATCAAAAGTTTTCCTGACAAAAGTTTTACATATTCTTTTGACCTAGTTGATTTATCTCCAGAAAATAAATTTCAAAACTCTGCAAACTTAATTGTAGGTATCCTTCTTACATTTTATTTTATATGTAAGATATTTCTTTGTAAAATTACAAATAGATGGTCCACTGATCCATTTTATGTGTGACTAAAAGTGTGATATATCATATTATTAAGCGAAGTGACTAGATAATGTGAGATTAGTGTCATTACATTAATATTTATAGTAATTTGTAAAGGTTAAATAAAGAATCTGTTTTTGATTTGGAGATAATTAAAGAACTGTGAAAAGGGCTAGGGATTTAGCTCAGTGGTTTCACCACCTGCTGTGCAAGCGCAAGGACCCGAGTTCAATCCCCAGTATCCAAAACAAAAGGAACTGTGAAAGTCTGGGTAAAGTAGGTAATGGCTATTAAGATGAAAATATTTGGTGATACTAGTTGAAAAGTAAATCAATCAACGTATGTAACTGGGTCAAAATTGTATGATGATTATGAGGAAGACATAATTTACATACTTAAACCTTATATAATATTAGGATTGAACATGTACCTACAACACACATATAAACATAGGGCTTGGTTCTGGCCTAAAAATTTTAGGAAAATGAATGAAGATATTTTGAACATTTGTTTTTCTAAAGTATATACTACAACATTTTATTGTTTAAAATATTTTTTTCTAAAATATGTATCTATCATAGACTTTTTATACTTTCTCTTTGTATTTGGACCAAAAAACTTTTCTTTCAAATTTGTGAACATTTTAGGAAAATTAGAGAAGTGTTTATTATTATAAAATATATTGACACAATGTAATATATTTAAATAAGGTCACATATTAATTATATTATGATCAACAGACATGAAAAACATCAGTGAAAGATTTAGACTTTCAGCACAAATTCAAATATAATTGCAAAAATGAAAAATATTTTGTTTATTCATACCACCAAGTGACAAGTCATTTAGTCCACCATCTTACCTGACATAAATCTCCCACCTCAATTCTCTTATGCTTCTATTACTGATAAGCTCTTTTTTTTTTTTTTTGTACCAGGGATCGAACTCAGGTCCTTGAGCTTGCAAGGCAGCAGAACCACTGAGCTAAACCCCAGGCCCTTAAGCTTTTGAATTTCTAATCTTTTCTTTTCTTTCCAGTATCAGGGATCGAACTCAGGATCTTGCGCTAGGCAGGCACGGTGCCACTGTGCTAAATCCTCGGCCTCATTTCTGGACTTTTCTTAATTACTTTTGATTATTTTACAATAATAATAATAAATAAATAATAAACAAATAATACAAATTTATTTTTTCAGCTATTACCATTTTTAAGAGACATTGAATTGCATCATTTTTGAAAGTACATTTCAAACTAAATTTTATAAGGCACAAAATATAGAAGTTTTAATTTACTGTATTAATTTTTCAGAATTTTTATGTTTACTGGATATAATCAAATTATTAGCATAGATATCTAAAAAGCAGTGTTTTACTTTTAAGATTATTATATAATATTCCTTCATTAACTTTTTTAAACAGATACAACGAAAAGATTTATCTGGAGAGCCAAATGCAGTTTCACATGTATATTTAGAAGTTGTATCAATTCATTTTTCAAAAGAAACAAAAATTCCACTACACTATGACAATGGATTTCTTTTTATTCAGACAGACAGATCTGTTTACAATTTGGACCAATCAGGTATAATAACAACAGAATTTTATTCCACTGGGGAGAAGTGGGATGATCTTGAAAATTTTGGGGGCACAAGGGTGTCTTTCAGGAAAAACATGAAAATAAGATGTTACTTTATATTATACACAAAAATAAGGAGCTAATAAGATTAAATTATAAATTATAGAAACAAAGAATAAGAAAAATATGAATCTTTTAAAGGTGGAATTAGAAAACACCTTCTCAGGAATGATGCTAAGGCATCTTTCAAATTTGGTTATTTTAACGAAGGAAACAATGGAGAAAGCTTAATGGAGACCAGGCCATGTGCAGAATGTGATGATGCATTGTAGAAGTTACGCTTGATAAAGATCCTGAATCTTAACTAAAAAATTCCTATTTTTTGTCCTCAATAGCATGTCTTCTAACAAATATTTCACTTTTATATTAACATTAAAAATTGTGAAATAAATTGCAAAGTTCCCCTAGCAATATCTGTCACCTTATGTTTGATTTGGAGGTTTCACTATTCTTTCAGTGAATTCCTTCTTACAAATTATCTCAGTGGGGGAAGGAAGCTCCAGCTAACTGGGATAGACTGAGTGCACGAGCATTTGATTGGATGAGCACTGACTGTGATGGTGAGGGTGATGATGCTAATTAGGTGAGATAAGCTAGAGGTCACAGCGGCAATTTTAGCAGCAGGGCAGAGTCCCTGCCAGTACACTTGGCCTTAGCCAGGATTAGAGCCATCGTTTGGTACTTGATCAGAGGAAGACTGTGTGTCTTAGAAGAGGTCAGGTCTGTGAGGTTTTCATCCTTCAGAGTGCTCAAATACTTAGTTATGCTTTTAGATATGCAGATTCTTGCTTGTGTCTTCCCTGTGACTTACTGGATTATGTTCATACTGCTCACTTTCAGTTCTTCCTCTCTATGATAATTTCAGATACTAATGAGCTGAAGGCTCTCTTATCTAGCAGCGGATTAAAAATACAAAAAGTCAAGTAGAAATAGTTCTTAATATGTTGATTCATGTTTTAAATGCATAAAGAGAAATATTTAAAAGAATCTATCCAGGAATTTTCTTTAGAAAATAATTTTCTTCTCAACTTTAATACAAGTTAAATTTCATCATCACAATATGAACTTTTAAGCTTGGATTTTATGTTTTGAGCTTTCTTTCTTTTTTTGATTGATTTATTTATTTATTTATTTATTGGTACCAGGGATTGAACTCAGGACCTTGCATTTGCCAGGCAGGCGCAGTGCCACTGAGCTACATCCCAGGCCTCTTACTTTTATTTTAAATTTCATAGGGCTGGGGATTTAGCTCAGTGGTTCTGCCTCCTGCCTTGCAAGTTCAAGGTTCCGAGTTCAATCCCTGGTACCCCCTCCCCCTCAAAAAATGTCATGGACCTTGTGTTAAAGAGTTGCTAATAGTATTGCCAGATCATTTAGAATTGAATAGTTTCTAACGGTGGCAATTTTTCTTATAGTGAAAGTTAGAGTTTATTCATTGGATAAAGACTTAAAACCATCTCCAAGAGAAGTTATTTTGACATTTATAGTGAGTATACCATTACTTTAAATTGAAATTTAACTCTGACATTTCCCTTATTTGAAGAGTTTTCATTATTCTAAAATTAATCATATCCGACATTAAACTATTCAATATTAAATTGCAGGAATCATTTATTCAGCATCTACAGTAAGTAGAACCTGGTAATTTATACTTCTCTGATCTTAGTTAATAATTTTTATGCATAATTAAGCATTGAAACATTTAATGGCTCCATTCAAGAACACCTTTTGATGGTCCATTTCTAAAGTGGATCAGTTGAGGAGTTTGTATCCTCTTGTTATATGTAAGGGTGGTGGAAACATAAAATGAAGTACTTATAAGCGTACATGACATGCATTATGTTGTCATAACAACCATAAAGAATCAATATCATTTCCACATTTTATAGAACAGAAGGCGAAGGGTTAGAGAGATTAAACACCAACTGACGTCCTACTACTAATAATTAGCTGAATCAGAATTTAAACCCAAGCCTATCTCTAGAGCCTTAGTACTTAGCTTCTCTCCTTTGATTTGGGGTATTTTGGTGTCCCTCTATGAGCATCTGAATTTGGAAGGCCAGGCCAGCATATATAATACATAGCAAGCCAAGAAATTGGTGATGTAAAACCTATTATAGCAAAGCAGCTTTGAAGGGAAGGCAACACTAAAGATGAAGTGCCCCCCTCTCTAGAAAGAATTGCTAAAGGACAAGGGTGCATTCTCATTTGGGTCTTAAAGGAAACCACGGAGAGGGTTTGATAGAGAGAAATTGGTGTGCAGAAGAGTAGAGGTCTGAGCTGGGTGTGGTGTTGCATTCCTGTCCCAGTCCTGAGGGAGGCTGATACAGGAGGATTGTAAGTTCATGTCTCATCTAAACAACTTATCGAGAGCTTGTCTTAAGGTAAAAACACCAGGGGATATAGTTCAGTGATATAAAATCCCTGGCTTGATCTCCAGTAACACACACACACACACAGACACACACGCACACACAGACCAGGTAGAGTTTTGGACTCAGAAGAAGCAAGATGGCAGGTCATGGAGTTGACAGTAACAGTGGTGTGGCTATAACTAACCAAACTAACCAGCCTAGAAACACTTTTGGGATAGACAGTGGCAAATTTGATGAACTACCATGGTCTATGACTGGGGAGTTATATTGGGACAGACAGAACCTAGTGAACTTGTCATAAAGGCCTGGCCTCACAGATCCTCCTATTTGCTTGTTAGACTTCCTTATGGAGCACAGACATGGAACATATGAGAGGCGATTGCTGTGGCAGGACCACATGTGTTCAGATTTGATGTCAAAGACAACAGGGAGCCAAGGGAGCCTTTGGCCATGCAGTGAAATTATGAAAATGGTGTTTGGGGAAGGTCACTGTAGAAGTCCTATTCAAGAAGGAAGGTTATGGGGAAGAGAACTGCTAAGAGTTTAACATTATCTTAAATATTTATAGTTCTATGTATGCCTGTTTAAAATAAGCCTTCATACTGTTGACAGTAGTCTTTGCTAACAAGCCTAACCAGCATGAGTCATTGTCTCAACACTAGACCAACATTTCTTAGAACACATTAATGTATATCTCTATAAGAACTATTGAGCACATACTATGTTTATGTGTAGCTTCTGTATTTATAAGTTGTTAAGAAAAGATTAAACTTAATTTTTTGTTTTTCTTTTTACTTGAAGGATCCACAAGGTTCAGAAGTTGCCACGGTAGAAGAAAAAAATTATATTGGGATTGTCACTTTTCCCGACTTCAAGATCCTATCTAATCCTAAGTATTTTCAGTTGTTTGTTGGTTAAGTTGCTCTTAAAAGCAATGGAGACACTTGGAGGTTATTGAATAGTCAAATGAGCCATTTACATGTTAACAGAAAGGTGGCGATGAAAGAAAGTTTGGTTTTAGCTATTCTTATTAGGTTTGGTGATGTCCTAGGCCAAGGGAAGGTGGGATCTGCTTGAACTCTTCTGCATCCAGGCAGGGGCTTGATATAATATTTCCTACTACCAGCACCAAGGTAGTCTACTCTGTCCAGTTTAGGTCTTCCACAGGAAGTCTAGGTGGTGGACACTGTGGAAACACAGACCTTGCCCACAAAATCCCAAGAGCACAATGGAAAAACAAAATGGAAAAAAAAGAAAAAGGAAAGAAAAGAACAGATGAGACCCTGTCTCAAAATAAAAACAATATACATTTTGTATTTCTTAGAGGCTTTGGAGCTTTCTTTGACATTTTAATAACATTTCTAGAACTTGGATAATATTTTGAAATATGATTTCAGGCTTTTACATTACATAATGCTTTGCAAGTGTAACACTTCAATACATTAAGGGAACTGGCGTTTATGGGTCTCCTACTATGTGCTAAACACTCTACTGGGTCCATCATTCTCATTTTTGAGATAAGTAAACTCAAGGTCATACAATCATTAAATGGGAGGGGGGCAGAAATGATAACCCTGAACTCTAGAGGGCAAAGCTCATCTTTGCTCTTGGCTTCTACCATATTGCCCCCTAAAAATAATGACATTCTGGCCTTGAGTTGTAAAAGTTCTAAAACTATGTATTTGTATCATTTAAGTACATTTAACCTAATCAATGTTCCTAAAAATATGGTCCTGATTTCCTGGCAAACTATATATTATAGCTCATAATATGATTAAGTTCAAGTTTGGTTCATCAACTGAATAATCAATATTTAAATATTGAAAAATTTAAAATACTTTCTACTTATACATGTACAGCACTATGACCTACTAGAGAAAGAATCAGTAATATGAAGATAATTTCAGGCATATACAATGATTTTTCCTAAAATGCATATTTTTGTTCATAATTTTAATACATCTTTCAAGTATTATATATTAATTCGAATGTGCAGAAAACTGAAGCTGCTGTCAGGGTCATCTAAACATGGAGTGTGGTCAAGGGTTTTAGAGTCAGAATGACAAAATTTAAATCCCAGCCACACCACCTACCAGCTGTTTGTTCCTGGGCAAGTTACTTCTTCTGTCTGGACCTCAGTTTTTTTATGGTAATATGTGGATAATAATAGAATCTATTATTCTAATAATAGAACCATGTATTTTCATGATGATTAAATGATCTCACATGTTTAGTCCTCAAGCATTTAGTCCTTGGCCCATAGTAAGCAGCTACAATCATTAGGTAAATTAAAGATATATTATTTGATTATGTGTAAATTTTATTTTATTTTATTTATTTTTTGGTACCAGGGATCAAACTCGGGACCTTACCCTTGTGAGTCAGGCGCCGGAACAACTGAGCTAAATCCCCGGCCTGATATGTAAATTTTAAATGTGTTGTTTTACAGATATGGCCTTTGGACAATTAAAGCTAAATATAAGGAGGACTTTACAACAACAGGAACTGGATCTTTTAAAGTTAAACGACCTGGTAATTTTAAATAAGTTTTTGAGATTTCACCTATGTGTTTTTAAAAACAGTTCTGATTGACTTCATAGAGTAAAAATGAAGGGAGCAGCAAGGTGTGGTAGACAGGTGGACTAGGAGTAAGAAAGCTGCAGTGCTGGTTCTGTCCATCTGGTTCATCTCCATCCGGGCACTGAACTCTGTGCCATGCTTTTTCCTTATGGTCTGTACAGGTGATCACATCAGTAACAAGGTAAGGTTAAGTAATACCCTTGTACGACCGATGGTTCTCAGATAGAACCATGAGAGGTTGTCCAATCTGATCCTCTTGTCCAAGTTCTCACAATCACTTTGCCTAGACCAAGAAGGAGAATGCTACCTGTGTTAGTTAGCTTTATGTCACTGTGATGAAATACCTGAAAACAACAACTTCAAAAAGGAAAGGCTTATTTCCGCTCAGAGTTTCAGAGCTACATTGCTTTTAGGTTTGTGGTGAGTGAGAAAAATCACTGTGGAAGGGCATGGTGGATGAAAGCTGTTCAGAGAACACTAGAACATGATAGTGGGCTCCCTCTTCCGCTTTTGTTTCATCTAGGCTCCCACCCTATCAGATGATGTGACCATGTTCATGGTGAGTGTCCCTTAGGAGGTTTGCTGTCCCACGAGACAACTGTCTCTGGAAACACCCTCACAGACACACCCAGAAGTGTGTTTTCTAATTTCCTAGGTGTTTTCCAATCCAATCCTGTGGTCAGTCAAGATTCACCATCATGTTACCTTTGAACCCCAAACTCAGGACTTTTTCCCATCAGCTCTAAAAATTAATGCTGTATTGGAAAATGACTATGTTTGGGAAAACACTTATTTTGGAACTGCTTGGATTCATTGTGCTAATAATTAACATAAAAATTCCCATTCATTTCTCATAAGAACATACTAGAAAGTCAGTTTGTATGTAAAGCTATTATACCCTGTTTTCTGCCTACCAGTTAGATGAGGAAGCAGAGAGATATTTATAATTAGGAGATAAAGGCAAGCACATGTAAAAATTTAAAATATTTAACATATTAAACCTACACCAGTGAAATACCCTCTGAATCAATGGAACTCACCTTTGGAGTTTCTTATTAGCTCTCTTGGACACTGTTCATAGTGCAAAGTCCTTGCTCTATTTTTATGGTACACACTGTGGAGCAATTTTCTCTGAAACAAAGAGAAGCAACCAGAACAGTGAGATGTTTGCTTTGCTCTTCTATAGGCAGTTCCCCATTACCTGCCCCGGTCAACCTTGAGCCAAGTCTTCCTTCTTTCTTCAAGCGCGGCCTTCTCCTACTGGGCTGAGTAATCTGTAGAACAATGCATGGTAAATAGGATTGGGAAGCCTAGCATCACTTTTTGAATGAGCATAAGGAAAAGAATAGACCGATATGGTCGAAAGGTATTGCTTGTGATTGTGGTTTCCAAGAGATGGAACATCTAAATCTTCCCTATGTAAATACAAAGCAGGCAAGCCAGTGTTCCAATTCCAAAGTAACTGTACATAGCTCATCTACAAAAGTGGGATTTGGGGGCCAGTACAATCAAATTCATAGCTGCTTTTTTTTTTTTTGGTACCGGGGATCAAACTCGGGTCCTTGCGCTTGCGCAGCAGGTGGTGAAACCATTGAGCTAAATCCCCAGCCCTTTTATAGCTGCTTTTGACAATCAGTTTATATAAACTAGGCCATAAATAAGAAAGATGTGAATAGTTTCACATATTTTTGATACCTGAGCAATGTAGTTACCTGCAAAGTCACCATAATATTCAATCTTTAGAAATATTTGCATATGACATTTTATGACAACAACAAGATTAGAATCAGCAAATATACTCCAGGAAAATCTGCTTCAATCCTCTTCCCACAATTGGTATTTAATTACAGTTTTTTTAAAAAAAACACTGAGCCTCAGAATCTTTCTCAAACAGTCTCAGTCAAGCACTACCAACTAGTTAAATTTGACCCCTGAAATGAAATATGTTTGCCATTCTGGAGCCACATGAATCTGAAAATTAAAACTTTCTAACCTAGCTCTTATAGTACTCTTGAAATTCTTAATGTTTTATGGCTAATGAAGTAATTTTCTGGTTCTACTAAGATAGAGAAGTGTGGGTTTGTCAAATATACACCTAAGCAAAAAGAAAAAAACCATAGAAAAATGATATAGTTGGCAATATAAATATAAATATATTTCAAGCAAGAAATGTTTTGTTATAGTGGAATAGATGAACCTCACTAACATCAGTATTCTTCCTTCATCATGATTATCATCGATACACCTGAGAATCCTTGTGAACATCCAGTGATAGATCTCATCTTTCTTTTTCAGAAGCCCTATTCTATATTAAACCACTTATGTTACTGTCAGAGTATGAGCTCTACAAGGACAAAGTCCTGATCATGTTTATGATGTCTTGTATATAGTACGAGTGTGATAAATGGCTATTAAATTGGAAATTATTTCTTTAGTATCTCTCATGTGTTAAACAATTCTCTTCCATTCATTGTCCCAAATATGAACACAAATTTCAAAATCTCCTCTAGGAAAGATATGTTCTTCTTATTGTCTATAGAAAACATCATTCATCAAAGATGAGAATTGAAGCAGAGGGAAGCTGCACTTGAATTAAGAGGGAAGACTTGGCTCAAGGTTGACCGGGGCAGGTAATGGGGAACTGCCTATAGAAGAGCAAAGCAAACATCTCACTGTTCTGGTTGCTTCTCTTTGTTTCAGAGAAAATTGCTCCACAGTGTGTACCATAAAAATAGAGCAAGGACTTTGCACTATGAACAGTGTCCAAGAGAGCTAATAAGAAACTCCAAAGGTGAGTTCCATTGATTCAGAGGGTATTTCACTGGTGTAGGTTTAATATGTTAAATATTTTAAATTTTTACATGTGCTTGCCTTTATCTCCTAATTATAAATATCTCTCTGCTTCCTCATCTAACTGGTAGGCAGAAAACAGGGTATAATAGCTTTACATACAAACTGACTTTCTAGTATGTTCTTATGAGAAATGAATGGGAATTTTTATGTTAATTATTAGCACAATGAATCCAAGCAGTTCCAAAATAAGTGTTTCCCCAAACATAGTCATTTTCCAGTACAACATTGATTTTTAGAGCTGATGGGAAAAAGTCCTGAGTTTGGAGTTCAAAGGTAACATGATGGTGAATCTTGACTGACCACAGGATTGGATTGGAAAACACCTAGGAAATTAGAAAACACACTTCTGGGTGTGTCTGTGAGGGTGTTTCCAGAGACAGTTGTCTCGTGGGACAGCAAACCTCCTAAGGGACACTCACCATGAACATGGTCACATCATCTGATAGGGTGGGAGCCTAGATGAAACAAAAGCGGAAGAGGGAGCCCACTATCATGTTCTAGTGTTCTCTGAACAGCTTTCATCCACCATGCCCTTCCACAGTGATTTTTCTCACTCACCACAAACCTAAAAGCAATGTAGCTCTGAAACTCTGAGCGGAAATAAGCCTTTCCTTTTTGAAGTTGTTGTTTTCAGGTATTTCATCACAGTGACATAAAGCTAACTAACACAGGTAGCATTCTCATTCTTAAGAAAGTAAAGGTGAGATCTTAAACTTATTCATGGATTCACTTCTCAAAGTTCTTTCTTATTCCAAAGTTTGAATAAAAATCTGCGACTTATTATTAGTGTAATGTTGGGCAAATACAGGTATGGTTGACCAAAATATTGTCCACCAGCACCATGTAGGGGAAATGTTCATTAAATACATATTTCTGCAATGATGACCCCCTAGTCCTATGCACATGAGATATCTTTTTATGTCATTAAAAATTATGGTTAATGCTGGTACCAGAAAATTTTACTTGTAACAAATAAATGAGATTATAAAATGATTACCTTTATGAAAGCATCTCTGAGTCATCTGGCTATTGTATTACATATTATTAAATATTTAACACATCTTTTACCATACTACTTGTTTATGTTGCCTTGGAGATAAGAGCCATCTATTTCACATGTATCTCCTCTTGTCAATTTCCTGGATTCATGAGATTTTGATCTGGTTATGTGAAGAAAAGAGTGGGGTAAATGATCTGACAAGTGGTGTGGAACAGGACACTAATTGAAACAGACATATGGGGATCTTATCAACTCCTGGGAGACACACTTTACTAGTTCATAAAGTGGCCACAGCAAATTATCCAACATGAGTTAATAATTTTGTGTGAAGTAGCCAAAGAATAAGTGAATGGCTTGCCCTTATCTAAATAAAATATGCCTGGAAACAGAATGGGGACCCACCCAGATCATTGTACTATGCTGCATTTGTCCAAATTCTCAAAGCAATGCATGTTATTCCAGTAGGCAGATTCTTCAAAGAAACTGATGAAACTGAGGTCAAATATGACCTGCCTTCCTACACACTGGATTTGGTTGCTGCTCCTCGTTCTTTGAAGCCTGGAATTCCATATTTTATCAAGGTTAGATGATTAGAAAATCTCATATGGGTGCATTTTCTCATTTACTGTTTGGTCACTTCATCTATGGAAGAATGAAGAAATGAATCTCAGAGAGATTTTGCTTCTCTATGACCACTAGTATAGGTATTTAAATGACAAAGATAATTGTGAGAGATGAAGAATAGGACAAGGTAACCAGCAAGAGCATGATATAAAACAATAGCTCAGATCCAGGCCTGGTAATAATTTCACCCAACCTGTAGTTTAACCACAGATACATAGCAAAGAACCTTGATTTATTAAACATTCAATATCCATCATTGAATTGAGTTGAATGTAATTTGTATCTTATACACCTGGGGTGATGAAAACATAGTATTAAGATAACCACGTTTAGGTACTGAGTTAAATCCAACCAAGTGTATGCTTGGGAAAAAAGGAAGGAAGTACCTTAAGATTTACTTGTTGCGGGCTGAGGATTTAGCTCAGTGGTTTCGCCACCTGCTGCACAAGCACAAGGACCCGAGTTCGATCCCCAGTACCAAAAAAAAAAAGATTTACTTGTTGCAACAAAATAAATATTAACTATTCCAATGGATTTGGTCCAACAGGTGCAGGTAAAGGATAACTTTGCCCGTTTTGTAGGAGGGACTCCAGTAATCCTGAAAGCAAAAATAGTAGATAAAACTCAGGAAAAAAGAGACCTGGATCCAAGGAAAAATACAACAAATTATCATAATGGCATAGCTTCATTTATGCTTAACATTCCCACTGGTGTGACAGCTCTGGAGTTTCACGTAAGCAGAATTCCCATTTGCTGTGCTTTCTAATATTGCCTCAGTCTGTATGGTAGTGATTATACAGGACAGATGGGGAAGATTTTACAAATAAGTTCAGTGAACTGTTTGGAAACATTTTCTGACAACAGAAAATATAATTTAGTATACTGACCATTTCATAAAGGATCAGGTTCATCCATTTTGTATTTAGGGATTTTTTTTTCTTATGCTAAATACAAGACCAAATCTGAAAAGTCTAGAACAAGAACAGCAACTGGAATATAAAAATGTGAACAGAATCTTTTCTTATTCATTATTTCCAGGTAACAGCATCTCTTCCTAACTTCACATAGCAGCTCTTCTAAAAAAAATTCACCTACATCCTTTCCCCTTTCAAGCTCCCCTAAACTGCTGAGATCTGGCTTCTGCCCCTACGACTCCACTGAAAGTGGATGAGCTGCTTCCTAAGACCATCAGATAGTCTTCAGTCCTTATCTTTCTTGCCTTCTCTGAGACATTTGGTGTAGTTGACTATTATTTTTTCTTTAAACAGTCTATCGTGGTCTTCATTTTTTCATGTTTCTTTCCTTTTCACTTTTTTCTTTGTTCTTCGTAGCCTCCATTTTGAACTGGCAGTCCTGGTTTACCTTCTAAAGGGGGGATCTTCAGGGATCCACCCAGACCTTCCTCTCTCCTCAAATGACACATTCTTTCTTATTTTATATATTTTCTCAGTGATTCCATCTGCTCCCATCCATCATGCTAAAGATTCAAGAAGCTTACAACACTGCTTTTGCATGTCTTTTTTCTTGAATGGTTCAAAGAAGCAAAAATATTACTTTGCCCAAAAATTCAGGACTGCCTGCCAACTTCAAACCTGGACTCTTCCCTATTTCAGTGGATGCCCCCAACAGCCACCCAGTTCCTCACTGTCCTCCCAGTCACTCCCGTTATTGTGGAAAGGGAGATGGGGTGATCATTGTGAGACACAAATCTGACTATGATTAACCTTGTTTCTGCTTGCCTTTACAAACTGACTGCTCATCATTCTTTCCATCACGCTCCTAACTCTAGCATCTTGGATAGTGGCAGCCTCCTAACACCCTGATTTCTATTGCCACAGAGACTTTATTCCTCCTACCTGGGACAGTTCTTCGGTTTAATCCCCTAACTCCTACTTATTTGGATGTTAGCTTTTAGCTTCATTCTCCACGGAATCTTCTCTAACTGCCCTCTGCTCATGGGATAGATTCTTCCTATGCTAACTCTGTCTCACAGATTTTGAGTTTCTCAAGGATAAGAGTTATGTCTATCTTGTTCACCTTTTTGTCCTTGGCAGCTAGCATAGTTCCTTACACATCTTAGTAAATATGGGTTGAGTGAATGCATGATATAGCTCTTTTTAGACTTAACCAGGGATGAAATGTCAGCAAATGATATCTAATTATTCAGCTTCAAATGAAACATACATGGCTCCAGCCTCTTGTTCAAGAGCTAGAAAAGCATGGAACATATGTTTATAAAAAGGACCTATGACTAGGTTAAATACAAGTGGAGAAAGTAGGCATCCATGTTTTTTTCTTGATCTTAGAGGAAAAAGCCTTTACCTTTTCACCATTAAGTATGATGTTAGCTGTGGGCTTGCCATGTATGCCCTTTGTTGTATTAAGTTACATTCCATCTACTCTAGTTTATGGAGAGTTTTAACATGAAAGGATGCTGGATTTTGCCAAATGCCTTTTCTGCATCTATAGAGATAATTATGTGATTTTTGTCCTTTATTCTGTTAATATGCTATATCACATTTATTGATTATTGTACATTGAACGATCCTTGCCTGCCAGGGATAAATCCTACTTGATCATGGTAAATGATCCTTTTGACATGCTGTTGAATTTGGTTTGCTAGTGTTTTTGCTGAGGACTTTTGCATTTCTGTTTTTCATAGATATTATCTTATAATTTTTCTCTTCTTGTTCTGACTTTGGTATCAGGGTGATGCTGGCCTTGAAAATGAGTGTAAAATAATTCTTTTGAATTCTTTATCAGGCAATTCAGTTAACTCTATTTCTTTAGGGTTAGTTACTGGAATATTTTTTTGTTCTTTTGGTAGCATTATGCTTCCTTGACTTTTCATGGTTTTTTGTTGTTGTTGCCTTGCATTGATGTCTATGCATTTGATGGAGTAATTATTGGTTGGGTGGGCTAGTTCTCTGGACTTAGTGAGGGCAAGTGATGTCATCATTGATGTAGCTTACAGGGGTTTACAACAGCCAGTCCTCTGAGTATCTACAGCTGCAGAGGGTGGGGGGAGGTTAAAGGTTTTGGCATTGAAGGCTGCTGGGATCTTCCAGATCTCTTATCTTCCTATGTGTCACAGGGCCACAACTTTTGGTGCCAGTTCCAACCTACAGGCATCCTTGAAGTGGCAGTGGCACCATCATTTTATGTGGATGTCTACTTTCTCCACATGTATTTAACATAATTTTGGAAGTAATCAAACTAGAAAAAGAAATAAAAGACATCCAAATGGGGAAAGAACAATTAAATTGTCTCTATTTGTAGATAACACGAACTTATTTTACAAAAACCCCAAAGACTCCACCAAAAAAAGGTATTAGAACTAGTAAATGACTTCAGTGAAGCTGGAGGATTAAAAAAATCAGCATTTAAAAATCAGTTATTGATCTGAATGATGGGTTTTTAAAATATGACCCAAGTACAGCTAACAAAAACAAAAGTAAATAGGATTGCATCAAACTGAAAAGCTCCTGCACAACCAAGGAAATAGTCAACAAAATGAATTGATAACATCCAGAATGGGAAGCAATATTTTCAAACCCCATACCTGATAAGGGGTTAAGATCCAAAACACATAAGGCATTCAACTTAATAACAACAACAACAAAATCCTCAATTTTTAAAATGGGGATACAATTTAAATAGACATTTCTAAAAAGAAGACATACAAGTGGCCAACAAACTATATGAAAAAATTTTCAATATCACTAATGTTCAAGGAAATGCAAATGAAAATAATAATGAACTACTGCACCACACCTGTTAGAATCATTATTAAAAATAAAAGGTAATGAAGTGTTCATGACTATATGTAGAAAAGAGAATCCTTTCACATTATTAGTGGAAAGGTAAATTAGTGCAGACATTATGGAAAACAAATTGAGGTTCTTTAAAAAATTAAAAATAGAACTACCATATATATCAATCCCACTACTGTGTATATATCCAAAAGAAAGGAAATCAGGATTGCAAAGACATATTAGCACCCTCATGTTCATTGCAGTATTATTTACCATAGCCAAGACATGGAATCAACCTAAGTATCTGTCAGTGGGTGAATGAATAAAGAAAATGTGATATTCACACACAATGGAATGCTATTTAGCCTTACAATGGAAGAAAATCTTGTCATTTGTGACAACATGGATGAACTTGAAGGACTACGTATCAAGTGAAATAAACCAGGAACAGAAAGACAAAGTCAAATAATCTTGCTTAGACGTAGTGTCTAAAAGCCCAAACTCATAGATGGAGAGAGTAGAATGGTAGTTACCAAAGGCTAAGGCAGGAATGAGTTTTGGTCTAGGATACAAAATTTCACTTATACAGAAAAATGTCAAGTTAAAGAAATCTATCATATAATACCACCATGTGATTAGAGTTGATAATTATTATTACTTGAAATTCCTAAGAAAGTAGACTTTAAGTGTTCTCATGACAAAATTTTTGTTTTTTTTTTTGGTACCGGGGATCAAACTTGGGTCCTTGGGCTTGCAAGTCAGGCAGCGGAACCACTGAGCTAAATCCCCGGGCCTTCATGACAAAAATATAAATACGTGAGGTAGTAAGATGTCAACTAGCTTGAGTCAACCATTCCACAATGCATACATATATTAAGACATCATGTTATATACCATAAATATATACAATTTTAATTTGTTAATTTAAGATATAGTGCTACATACTTGCCTCTCTGCGGGGAAAATGATTGCCATATCTTGTTCCACATTTTTCTCTCCTCAAATACCATCTTCTGCCAGCGTTTGGCACTAAGAAATGGATCAATAAGTTGGCATGTCATTTCAGAAGGAAGGTCAGTCTTTGGTCTAGAATCTTTTCTTTCCTTTGATTTCACCAAACTCTTCTACAATAGCCTAAAATTTCATAGTTAATTTTATTATTTTTAAAGTTTCTGCTTTTCTTTCTCTCTCTCTCTCTTTTTTTGTACCAGGGATCAAACTCAGGACCTTGTGCTTGCAAGGCAGGAGGCGGAACCACTGAGATAAATCCCTGGCACCTAATTTTATTATTTTTGAACCAGTGGTTTTCTGTAGTCACTCAATAACATTATCTTAGGCAGTGACTAACTTGTCTTTTCATAAGGTGTTGGGAAGTCTGAAGATTTGTGAGGTAAATGGACAAATTCATACATGTTAAAAAAGAAAAAAACCCAAATGGACATATTCATACATGTGAAGTACATAGAGTCAGCCCTGGTACTAAAAAAATACAGGACAAGTGTTAGCAGTTAACCATCACCACCATTGTCATCATCACTGATGCAGTTAGGCATCAGCAGTTTTCACTTATTGTACTATCTTTTTTAGATTAGAACTGATGTCCCATATCTTCCTGAAAACTATCAGACCAGCATTGACTATCAAGCAGTGACCTACTCATCACCCAGCCAAAGTTTCCTTTCCCTTGGCTGGACATATAGTTACAGGAGTTTGCTTGTGGGAGAACGTCTGAGCATAACTGTTACCCCTAAAAGTCCATATATTGACAAAATTACCCACTACAATTATTTGGTAAGTTCAATAATATCTTATTTACATCCAGTGTCCTGTTTGCAACATTCTCTTTACTTATACAAATAGTCCTTAAATGACTTATTACCTGACACAATTGATATTTAGTGAATAAATGAATGAACTTTAGTACTTCCCAGTTTATAAAGCACATTCACAAAAGCTTCATGACAGTTTTTTGAGTTCAGCGACAATGGAATACACTGGAAAGGTTGAATGACCTTCCATGATCATAAGTACTTGTAGGTAGGTTTAGGATTTTGTTGGAGGCCTTCTGACACCTAAATCAATATTCCTTCCACAATATATTGCCAAGGGTTTGGTCAAAACTTTCATTCAGTGTCCAGACTGGTCAGTGACTCCAGCAATGTTTCATGGCTAATCAAAGCACTATTAAACAGCAGGACACTGGCCTTCCAAAGGTTCTTAAGAATATGCCTTATTTCCAAAGCAAAGAATTCAAATCTTGATCTCAATAATGGATATAGTGATTCCAAACTTTGTTCCTTGCTATTTAAAATACAAACTATGAAGAACAGCCGAATAATATATTGGAGAAGGCCAGGGCTTTGGGTAAACAAGATCAAGGTTCTCATTCATATTCCATCACTGCCTTGGTCCACATCTATGACCTTCAATTTCTATAACTACTAAATGGAATGAATAAAACCATATCATAAAATGGTGAGGATTGAACATGTTCATGTGCATGTATCTGATGCACAGTAAATGATGAATGGACATTAATTCTTTTTTATTTCTACCCCAACTTTGAACTTATGCTCTTTGAACTCTGATGCTTATTTTTTGCTATGTATTTTTAGATTTCATCTAAGGGGAAAATTGTGCACTTTGGCACAGAGAAGAGAATCCCAGCTTTAGCTTCCCAAATTTTAAACCTTCCAGTGACTCAATACATGGTTCCTACAGCACATCTTTTGGTCTATTACATCATCCCAGGAGAGTCGACAACAGAGTTAGTGTCTGACTCAGTCTGCCTGAATATTGAAGAAAAGTGTGGCAACCAGCTCCAGGTGAGACAAAAATAATTGTTTCCAGTCTGGGTTCCTCCTGAATGATTATTTAATCTCACACTAAGATGTTCTTTCTTTTTTAAACTAATTTTAGATCTATCTGTCTCCGAGTAAAGATGAATATTTTCCAGGCCAAGCTGTATCACTTATTATGGAAACTCAGTCAGAGTTGTGGGTAGCATTAACAGTATCGGAAAATATTGCATATGACATCCAAGAAAGAATCAAAAGTCCTATGGAAAGAGTTAAGTAGAGTAAACTTATGATTACTGGTGCATGCATGACTTTTGACCAAGTGGCCACCATGATTCTCTCAGTGTTCCATGGGCTGGTTATGGGAGAATATAAGAAAAAATGCAAATATACCAGTGTCTGTGTTCTCAGCTCAATTGGAGGGTAATAATTCCAAGAGTTAACATTTATTGAACCCCGACTATATGCTAAGCTTTACTCTAAGCCCTTACATCTATTGTCTTGGTGGATATTTAAAACAATTCTATGAGATTGGTGTCAATAATGCACATTATATTTAAAACATGTTACACTTACCATCATAGTCCCGTTATTGATAATGAAAACTAAGATTCCCCATTACCTGTGCACCCTTCACCCCCCTGCCCTTCCCTATTTACATAGATTTCATTTCCATTTTTTTCTTTTCTCATAGTTTTTCCTTTTCCTCTCTTCCTTTCCCCTTCCCCTCCCTTCACTCCTTCGTCTTTGGACTTTTTTTCCTATTTCAAATTATCAATTATTCATTTTAATCATTTTAACCTTTGTTTACACTATCAGTTTCTCACCCTAGTGAAACTATTCGGTATTTACACAGGTGTGTCCTATTTATTTCACTTAAGAGTATGGCCTCAATATCCATCCATTTAGCTATAAATGACTCTAGTTTTTTGTTCTTTATGGCTGAG